AAAAAAAAAAAAAACTAAAAACTGTTTCATAAACAAGTTTGCTGCTCTTTGCTGAAGATTAAAGCGAAGATACAGGCCTATAAAACACAGCATTACATTATTTAGAGAACCATACACAGGCTAACATGATTTTATTTGTTTTTATTAGTCTATAACTGCAATATCCAAATTCACAGAAAAGATGAAAAGATTCAGTGGGGGGGGGGGGGGGGGTCCTTTAAGTTAAATGTAACTGACTTACAAAACAAATCACAAAAACGTCCCGCTGGTCCTCAGATTGCAGGAAAATTGCTAAATATATATCAGCCACCTGTACCAATTACCATACCGACTTAAAACACTAGATAAACGCTTGCTATACATGTCAAGAGGGCGGAATTACAGCAAAATATGGAAAACGTCCAATCTAATGATCATTTAGGGCAGGGTTGTGGTTTGTGGCTAATTTGAGGTCAGTCTTAACGTAAACGACGGCAGCGACGTATAGGCCTCCAGTATTACCTTCTCCTGCCAACAGATGCCGTCACACAAGACCGGGCTGCAAGTGTTGCGTGTGCAAGCTGTCCGCGTGTCGATACGTTCAAATTGACCTCCCGATCGGAACAGGTAGGAGAGGCGACAGACAGAAAAGAGAGGAGGAGGAGGAGAGAGAAGGAGGAGGAGGAGGGTGTTTTATACTTGAAGTGGCTGTTAGTGTTGACGCCCATCGCTGGCAATTACGCACAATCAGTCCCGCGAGCTGCAGACCTGCTCCTCGTGTACAATGGAGCCCCGCGCGCCGTGGAACCTGCGGGTGAGGCCCGCGAGCTGCTCAAGTGCGTGCAGCTGCGGGCGCTCCAGAGAAAGCTCACTTCCCCCGCAATTAGCTACTCGTTTCAGTTTTAACAATGGAAAAACTGGTTTATTATCAGCTCCTCTGGCAGTCGTTTAGTTTAAAAAAATTGGCGTCCATTTTTTTTGGTGGGGCGGGGGTATTATTTGTGGGTGTCTGAAGTGGCTCTGAGAAGTTATTTTCTCCTAATTGTCAGGCTTATCTTGATTTGACAAATTTACCGAGACTTGAATGGCACTTTACTGTCACAGCCTCACACACAAAATGACCTGTGGTTTAATTATGCAGGCTATTGGTTATTAGAGGTTTGATTTGAACGCTTTAAGTGAGTTCAACAGAAAATGAATACAGCTCCTTGCTGTGCACCCTTTAATCTGCGGTTGGACTTTTTTTTCTTCCTTCTTATTTAATCACAGGTCAAACGTTTTGAAAAACAACTTTTACTCCAGACTTTGTTTCCAATAATATTAACAAAAAAATATCAATCATTTCAAATGAAATCTTTCCAACAGATGACTCTGAACATGAGTGGATTGTGCGGACTTGTCGGAAAGCTTGGGATGAGGTTGCTGGCGTTAATCCTGAGAAGTCTGTTGCATCCAGACCCGAAGAGTCCAGCAGTATCAACTGATACGTTTTGCATTTTATTTTCAGGAATTGGCTATTAAAACTGTTGGAAATGTTGATTATTATTATTTTTTTGTCCTGTATAAGTCTTTGACATATAAAGAATGAACATCAAAACGTTATATTGTCTCTTTTTATGTTATTTATTTTCTTTTGTTGTACATTGAGTTGTAACCACTTCATCTTAATTTCCATATAGCCTGTGTGTGTATTTTAGTGAGGTAGAGAGTATGGAAATCTACAGGCGGCACAATATGTATCCTGTCTTTCATTTGGTTTGATTAAATAAACATTGATAATTTAAACATACTGTATGCTGCTGTTTTGAGTTAAGTAGTTGGTTGTGCCAACATACTATGTTTGTTAGAATTCAATCTGATGTCATTGGCATGTCTACCAATCAGAAGCATTTACTCTCTGACTGAATATCAAACGTCTAAGGGTGTTTTTGTTTTTTGATCATAGCAAATAAAAAGAAAGTGATCTGAAACACATAAATGCTTTTCATGGATTCCTGTTTGTTTCTGCTGATGTCTCACACAGAAGTTTACTTGATACTGGGACAGTTTTGATGCACTTTTTATCCCAAATAGTAAGATTTTTTTGGGCCTATATCTCTTATATGCACATTCAAATCCCCTGTCCATTTATGCCATTAAACAAGATCATATATATTTAAGTTTAATGCCGCAGTAGGTCATCATCAAAAAGTTAAATAGTCATATTTCAGAACCAAATGTATGAGAAGTATGACCCATGCATGATCTCCAAGATGAAATATTCTAAATTATATCTGTTGCTAATGTGCAGGTAATGTTAAAAGGGCACAGTTCTGCTGTGTGACCGTCTTGTTTTCATTAAAGACCAAACTACTCAACGTCTTTAGCAGAGCATGTGTTGCCCTTTAATCAAATAAACAACCTCTTTTTTTAAAAGTTAAAAGATTAAAAAATGTAAATCAATAAATAAAGTGAATAAGTGGAGTAAAGGGAATTTTATGGGCAGCAGTCCTGTGCACAAAGGCTTTCCCCAGGATGCACCCTTCCTGCTTCATAGCAAATACACATTCACAGAAAATGCACACACACACAGACACACACACACACACACTAGGATGTACACAACTAGCCACATAAATATGAGCAAAATACACAAACCCACAAACAAAGAACTAAACATGTACCAAACCACAAAAAACACATAGAAGATACAATTACTTCATATTTATTTATTTTATTTGTACGTTGGTCCAATTGTGCCCAATTTCCTTTTTGTGCCGCACATGTTGTTTGGGAAAATAAAAGTGAATTATTGCTTAATTAATTTATCCTAAAAAATGATCCAAAACCACAAAAATATCACATTCTATTTTATTGCATTTTAGTACACAAAACATTTATGATGCACAGTCTATCAAATAAACTTTTTTGTTTCATTTCATGTTTTTTAACAAAAAACAATTTCAGAGGGAAAAAAGTGCTTTACAGGGATTTACCAACTCAATAAATACAGGGACATTGAGGTCTTGTTGGATCCTGTTCTTCACACAATGGCCATGGCACTAAAATACAGATGCACACTCTCTACCCCTGTCAGTACACACACACACACACACACACAGACACACACACACACTGAAAAACACACACATGTACAACCCCAGTCTGATTCATATTGTCCATATTGTACCAATACACCAACACTCCATTTCCCTCTTTGTGTGAGTGACACACACTCAGAGGCTGAACAAGCAACCTTAGAAATTATAAATAAAAACAATACACTTGTTTGGAAATGTGAAAATATGTAACTTGTCAGATTTTATAGGAATGTGAAGTTTGACGAGTATGCTCATCCCAGACTTCCTAGTCCCTCCGTTTCTCATGTCATATTAAAGAAATGTAACAGGTTGTGGCGCTTAATATCTATTAGCTCCCGCTACCTGTTTACTGCCGTATTTAATAATACCCCCCCCCCCCCAGACATTGTGCTTTATGGTTCCTTCATGATTAACACTCCCAGGCTGCCTGTGGACATATCTTGTGAACGGAAAACTGAAAATCCTCATAATTTTGTTCTACACAATTAAATTAAAAAAACACCCAAATCTTTCTTTAATGATGAATTACGGGCTGGAATTTAAATTAGCTGATTCACTGCTGTCAACAACTACAGCTTCTGATAATAATGGAAAAGATAAGGCACACAATATTTTTATTCCTTAACAAAAAATCTAATTCTACACCTCATTTCAGTGACCAAATGTAACTGGGAAGTTTCTGGGTTTTTTTTTTTAGATGTCATAAAGTCACATTGTCATTCCTAAAAAAAATATTTCGAGTCAACATTTTTGTAGTTTTCCTTCATGGTTGCTTAGAGAGAAAAGAGAGAGGTGTCTTACCTCTAATGTGGCCTACTGTGTGTGCCTGGCCCTTGGGCCACAATGGCAGTTTCCCCCTTAAATTTCCCCCTCATTCTTTATCTTCAGTATTCTGACATCACTCAAGAGGTGTCAGTCCTGCTTCCTCGTTCAGTTTCATCCCTTTAAAACTCCCTCCACCTTCAAGTCAAAGGGCGGATGAGTCGAGTGGAGGATACTGTACATGTGAAGCAAAATGGGTCCTTTTCGGTGGTGTAAAATACAGTCAGTGAGTTCCTGCTAATGATAAATGCTTCACGCTCATTTTTGACGGAGTGGCTGCAGGTGGGATATTCCTGTCCTCAGAAAGAAAAAAAACATAAGGACAGATGTGTCTTAGTTTTTCCTCTTCCTTTCCATTTCTTTTTCTGTTTCAGAGTGGGCAGGGCTCCTGTAAGATGTGTCTTTTCTCCAAGCTGACTCCTGCGTGACCTGTGGTCACAGACGTCAGTGATGGGAGATGAAGGGTGAGGATCCAGAGGTTTAGGGGTCATAAGGGTCATAGTGGTGGAGCACTAGCGGCTGAGGGGGAGCTGGGGCAGCGACATGGTCTGGTGAGGGAGACTCTGAGAGGTCAGCACGGAGAAGGGATGACCTGGAGAACACAGTAGAATGCAAAAAAGTAAAAATAGTGAAATAAAGAAAGAAATCTGCATCAGAAACCTAATAAAAAAGCCTATTGGCTCCACAAAAATCAACTACAACTCACTGTCGATGTACCCATGAAGGGCCACCATGCGCGCCCGCTCAGGACTGCCAAAGGGGGAGTAATGCAGCTCATCGGGCAGGGACGAGGGTATCCTGGACTGGGGATGACCTTGGGGAGCCCCACTGTGCTGGGGCGTGTGCTTTTTGTGTCTTGCTCTGCAGTTTTGAAACCACACCTATGAAGACGCAATGTAACCAGACATCATGTAGCTATATTCTTGAAATAGAATATGTGGAGTTATTTCAGAAAGTACGTTTTCACAAATGACAGACAAAACTGTGCAAATATATTTCGTAATATAGGTGCGCATATCATATACAGCTACAACTATTATAACATAATTCGATTTATTACCAAAGTGTTGATGTCTTTGTACTGACCTGTATAACTCTCCTGCTGAGGCCTGTCATGTCGGCTAGTTTCTGTAGCGTCTGGGCATCTGGATTGTTGTCCTGGGCAAACTGAGCCTGCATGATCTGCATAATGAGACAAAGCATCAAATCAGATGTTGTTTAAATCAGTTTATTGCACAGACCATGAAATACTGGATTTGGGCTTCAAATGTGGTTAGAGGGTTACACATTCACAAAATAAGCTGCAAACTGTATGAGAACCACATTGGTTTTAAGCTAAGATTGGTGCGACGTGTGTGTCTGACCTGTAGCTGTTCTGCAGTGAAGGATGTTCGTGCCCTTTTGGCCGGTTTAGGTTGACTATCTTGTTCTGTTGGAACTGCTCCTTCTAACGTGATACCATTGCCTGAAAAACACAAAAACAGACATGTGAGATGACAGACAAATGTGTTAACCATTTAAAATGTCCAAGACAGTCCCAGGAGATGTATTTAGGACATGGACACGGTATCAAAAGGGACTTTATTTCTTTTCTTCCTCATTTTGGAGGGAGGCTTGAGCTCTTGTAACATGATCAACTAATCCACTCATTATGTAGGAATCCATCAAAACTGGCCAGACATACTAAATCGTCAATAATATAAAAATAAAAGATAAGAAATAGTAATTTTGTGCAATGGTAAATTATGCAATATTTTTTGGCTCACAAAACAATATAAATTACATTAAAATTCACAACACCAGATAACCGCTCTTATGGAAGTACTGTTGAGCAAACATCTGGGCAAACAACAGTGAATTTGTCAGAATTTGCTACTCACCACTCTCAGCCGCTCGTTTGAGATTCTCCACCATGGTGTCGTAGTGGATCCTACACAGGACCTTATCCTCCACCAAGCCAAACTCCTCTCCCGTGGACAACTGCCTCTTACACGAGTAGCACGCAAAACATGCCAAGTGGTATGCATTTCCCCTTGCACGGCGCACCCAGTCGCTGGCGTATATCTGCCGCCCACAGCGGGCACACTTAGTACCAAACCTACTGTGAGGGAGAGAAAAAGGAGAACAGAGGCAGTGGAGGAGAAGCAGGAGAGAGAGAAACAGAACGAGGAATTAGTGAGACGTAGGTGGGGTATATAAGCAGCATTGCGGTCGAGAAAATTGCATTTTAAATCTTATCTCAAGGCCATTTTCCACGTAGTACACACATAGAATTGAACATGCACAGACATCCTTTTCTTTGAGAATATGTTGAGAGAGCTGAAGTTGAAAATAAGTGTTTTTAAACTTAAAGTTTTGGCAGAACTCAAAGGGTTTAAGGAAGAAACCTTGGAGGAGGATATGGCCTTCAAAAAAGACTCCTGACTGCGGCTGCAAGCTGAGCCTTGAATGCAAACAAACCAACACCTGCAATTTCCTGACTGATGCCTGAAGGCCCTGACATGTACACACACTCGCACACAAACACAGACACACACACACACACACACACACACCAGGAAACACACCAACACACATGCGAACCGGGGTGGTTTTACACACAGTGGAAGATGAAGAAAAACTTGGATGACATCATTTGAGATCGCCACGCTGTAACTGATAGCAACGGTGAGGTCAGGCAGCATATAAACCTAAACCACCTGACTTACTGTTCTGAAGGGGTGGGTGGTGTTGGGGGGCAGGGCGGTCGAGGGGCACAGAGGGGAGACGATGAAAGGTAAATGGACAGAAAGTTACAAAAGGAGAGAGGCAAGAGTCAGCAAATGCTTTAAGACGATTCATCATGAGCTCCAGACAAGATATTAATATCTGAAATATGTGAATGTGTATAAATGTGACCGAGGGCAGAATGAGACAAATAGAAGGGTGAAAGAGCATTAGGGCAGAGATAAAGACTGCCAAGAGTTTTTTTTTTTCTTTAAGCATAAGGCTGGTGTTATTATAATTTCCTTGCTGTCAACTAATCCCACAAAAAGACCAAAACCAATAATGTGTT